CTTCTCCCTCTCCCACTCCCCCTGCTTGTGTTCCCTCTCTCGCTGTGTCTCTCTCTGTCAAATAAATAAATAAAATCTTTAAAAATAAAAATAAAAATAAATAAAATAAAAAATAAAGGGGCAATTAAGGAAAAATGAGGCCACTAGAGGGCGCTAATCCAATCTGACTGGGGTCCTTAAGAGGAGAAGGTGCAGAGGCAGAGAGAAGACCCCGAGAGGACACAGGGAAAAAGCAGCCCTCTCTACAAGGAAAGATGCTTCCAAAGAAACCAGACCTGTCCACACCTTGATCCCAGACCTCCAGCCTCCAGAACCGTGAGAAAATAAATTTCCACGTCGTTTGAACCACTCAATCTGTGGTATTTTATTATGGCGATCCAGCAAACTCATAAAGTACCTAATAAATAGTTACTGACGTTGTTTTCTTTTTTCTCTCGCGGACGGAATTGGAAATGACTTTCTTTGTTGTCGTGCAAAATTGCTCTCTTCTCCAGAGACCTTGTCAATTATAGAAGAGCAAGGCAGGTTTCTGTGGGTTATTCTCAGCTCCTGAAGGTGCTCTTGGATTCTTCTGAGAAGTGTTTTGTTTGCAGAACAATTGGCATTATATTTGAGATGCAGTGTCAGTGAAGGCCATATCCCGGGGCTGGTTCCATATGTCCCCCCAATTCATCCCACGCTGCAGACACACAGGTCATGCCGGAGACTGTGTTACTACAGCTGCTTGGACTGAGACTGAGATTTTTTGGGGGGAACCAGCCACAGTGACCCCAACACGTGGAAAGCAGATGTTTGTCACCTGGCACATCTTATAGAATTGTGTAGCGAGAGAATGTTTTATGTGAAGAGGATGCTTGAGAAATGTCACATGTTGGGTACTGATCAAGGAAAAGAGGAAAACGTTCAGTTCCTTGTTCTTGGAATTTAGCGTGTTATTTGTCACGAAGACAACATATTTGTTGTCTTCAAGAGCCAAAAAAACTCTCCTCTGTTCCTTTAAGAAATGTGTTTCCTTTTCTAGCGTCTTGGCTCTTCATGAGGCAAGAATGTCTTTTCCTTGGGGACAGTTGACAAAAACATTAGTGGATGTGAGTCATCATACTGATGTCCGAGAAGACTCTTTTTTTAGTTATCAAAAGACACGTCTTCTTTTGGATTGTTTTGACAAAAATACCACAGACTGTGTGGTTTAAACAACAGACATTTATTTCTCTCAGTTCTGGAGACCCGAAGTCTGAGGGAATGCCAGCACGTTTGGGTTCAGAGCTCATCTCCCTCCAGTGTCTTCTTATAAGGACACTAAAGTCCCATCATCAGGGCTCCACCCTCCTGACTCAGCCACCCCCTCACACCATCACACTGGGTATTCGATTTCAACATATGGATGTGGGGGCGGGGGAGGGAGGTACAAACATTCAGTCCATAGCAAGGCAAGTGCCAAAAAGCTAATGTTTTATCCATTTGCCATTTTTTTTGGAAACGTTGCTGTACATCTGAAATCCCATAATTACATTAAAAAGAACCATTCATGAGAATGTGAATAGCTGTTATTCTGTTCCCTGTGATCTGGTGTTCAAATGCCTTCAAACAGATTTACGGAATTAAGATAGTTGTCAGTTGATTGAGTCAGACTAGGTATTAGTTTCCAAGAACAAATTCCTCTAAAAGAAAGGGTTGTGTTTTTTTTTAAATTAAAGCAATATATCTTATATTAAAGTTTTATACTTATGCTTCTAATCTTACAATATTTTTTATAATTAAAAGAATTTAATAAAATCCATATTCCTGTATAAGAATGATCAGAGAGAAGCTAGAGAAATGGAAAAGATGACAAAAATCCAGGGGAGAGAACATTACTTAGAAAGGAAACTAGCCAGAATTCAGCGTGCAGTTGGGGCAGTGTAGAGAATGAGGGAGAGAAAACAGAGTAACAGGGAAGGACCCTGGGGAAGGGTGGGTAGGATGAGTATTGTAGACTGCCCTACCGAATTTGCTTGAAGTAAATACCCTGGGCATTATGTAAACCAAAAGACACTCTAAAACCATGGAGATAATTTTTCCCCTCCACCAGGGAGGATTACCTACACAGCCACATTTATTCAAGTTTAAAATTCTTCTGTGCAGTTATTCCAAGAGAGAAGTGCATGGACAGACTGGTCAAAAAATAAGTTTCACAGGGTTTTCTCTCACTAAAAGGCTGATGGACAAGACAAACAAAACAAAAGAACTAGAAGACATTTGCTCTATTCCTGAGTTCAGGCAAGGTTTTCTCACTTCCAGAAATGAGGTGTATGGATTACTGATTTGGCAGGTTCCTTGCAGCAATAAAATGTTGTACTTATTGAAGTTTTGTTTGCAAGGCAATACATTATATTTGTTTCCTGTTTTTAAAAAACTATTTGTTGAGGTAAAATTCATATGACGTAAAACTAACCATTTTAAAGTGAACAATTCAGTGACACTCAGTACGTATGTAATATCGTGCAACCACTACCTCTGACTAGTTCCGAAACGTTGCCGTCACTCCGAAGTGAAACTCCTCACCCACTAAGCTATTCCCCCCCATTTCTTTCCCTCTGGCTTCTGGCAACCACTGACTTGCATTGCCTTTATAAATTTATCTATTCTGGAGACTTCATATAATTGAAATCATACAATGTGTGAACTTTTGTGTCTGGTTTCTTTTACCTTAACATTGTGAAGGTTCATCACATGGTACCATGTATCAGTACTTCGTTCCTTTTTAATGCCTGACTAATATTCCACTGAATGGATATGTCACAATTCCATTGTGATGGGTGTTCGGAATATGTCCCCCCTTTGGGCTATTGTGACTAGTGCTTCTATGAACATGTGTGTAGATGTACTTTTTGAGTATCTGTTTTCGCTGTTTGGGGGTATATACACAGGAGTAGAATGGCAGGGTCATATAGTAATTCTATCTTTAACTTTTTGAGGGACCGCCAAACTGTTTTCCATAGAAGCTGAACCATTTTGCATTCCTGCCAGCAATGTACAAGGGTTCCAATTTCTCCACATCTTTGCCAACACTTATTTTTTTTTTTTATGATAGCCATCCTAGTAGGTGTGTTTTGTAGTATCTCATAGTGGTTCTGACAGAGCAGTACATTATTAACTTAATTCTTTTAAAGTCAAAATTTTTAAAAAAATACTTATTTATTTAATCTCTACACCCATTGTGGGCCTTGAACCCACCACCCCGAGATCAGGAGTCACACACACTCTTCGCCTGAGCCAGTCAGGCATCCCAAAGTCAAATTTTAATAATAAAGTCCAAGCTGATTCTGAAGATGCCTGAGGCTTCTAGAACTCTTTGTCATCACAGATTGTGGGGCACCCAGTCCCAGGCATTTATCAAGTTCACTAGAATATGTTTAGAAGAATTATTTCATCAAGGACGGTCGACTCTTTTGATTGGGTAGGATTAGAAATATAGGAGAGAGGGGCGTCTGGGTGGCTCAGTCGGTTGAGCATCTGCCTTCAGCTCAGGTTGTGATCCCAGGGTCCTGGAATCGAGCCCCACGTTGGGCTCCCTGCTGGGTGGAAAGTCTGCCTCTCCCTCTGCCTCTGCTCCTCCCCCTGCTTGTTCTCTCTCTCTCTTTTAAATAAATGAATAAAAAAATCTTAAGAAATACAGGAGAGAGAAGTGACAAGAGCCATACCAATGGCACTTAAATACTACTTTTATTTGTGTGAAACTCAGTGGTTGATGTATTCACATGGGAGAAGGCTATCTGGGGACATCCATCTGAAATCACAAACTTTTTTTTTTTTTAAGAACAAGGGCTAGTTCTTAATTTGAGGGATAGAATTCACCAGCTTCATATATTTTTGTGTGGACAGGTGATGCCATTTTGTAGAGGAAGGTCTGACGGATGATTTTAGGCCATTTCTTAAGGGGTTTTAGGTTGTAGCCTCTGCAGAGCAATCTAAAGAGGGGAGGAAATGATCGGTCCAATGATAGGACAGAGGAATAAGCTCCAAAACCAAATGTGGAGTG